CCCACAAGAAAGTGGCAAAGTGCGACTTTAATTTGCTCACTTGAGTGGAGCTTATTTGGTTGGAATTCTAGTTATAACTTTGACACAATCCTGGCTTTTCTTCACAAAATAAATTGACTTGTGTATTTTCAGCCACTCAAACTCCTCACAGGAATTTCTTCTTGATTACCGCACGACTCGACACCGGCTTACTCCTCACACAATAAGAAGTGCTGCAATATTTAGCAGAAGTGTGTTAGAACTGGCCCACTGGCATTGTGTTACCAATTACCACAAGGGGAGCAATTAGTGCAGCATTAAATAGTGATGAAGTCTACTGCACAGCGATGATCCCCAACATCAGAGCTGTCACACCCTCATCCGTCAAACGCAGGCTTCGGGGCGCCAACAGTCAGGTAGTCATACATTATCGCCCATGGAAACAGGTGCTGCACTACATTCTAATGACTTTGTTCTATCAATTATGTAAAGACTCGGGGTCCACCACATCCCACCCCCACTCGCTGCTTTGCCCCAGCTGTTTCGAACGCCTAAAGCTGCCTCTAAAGGTTTCTAAAGAGGTGTTTTTTATATATTCGGTCCCGGAATTAATGTTATGCAGATTGTAGTGACATATGAAATCATGCGTGTTTTCCTTTGGCTCACAGGTGGTGGGTGGTAGAGGGCGGTGGGGGTAACGGTCTTCCAGGCGCTTGTGGTTTTTTTGCACAGAATCTCGGGCATGCTGAGCGAGACTGTAGACATCTGCTGCCAGTTCACGTGAGTTCTAGTGTTCAGACGAGCTCGTACGATGCAGGGGAAAGTACAAAACGTTGCCTGGTCCTGATTTCTAAAGGTGATTGCGAAGAACGTGAAAGGTGAACGTAAAGAAGCCGACAATTGTTCTAAAGTGTGATCATCATGTGTCTGTGAATGTACAGTATCTTTTCAAAAACTGCATCACAAGAACACAACAACTTGAAAGCAACTCTGCGGTCTCCTGACTATAGAAAACACATTTCAGATTATAAAAGCTTTAGACATTTAAGGTCCTATATTACACAAAACTGACTCTTGAGAGCTTTTAGTCATGTTATAAAGTTTCTACCTCCTCAAAAATACACCTAGAGTTATGTTTTGTTTCATTTACGCATGTATCTACATCTCAAAATCTCAAAATGCTCTGTCATGTAGTGGTAGTTTTCAAGTTAACAATTAGACTTAGACTTAGACTTAGACTTAGACAAACTTTTTTGATCCACAAGGGAAATTATTTGGACACTGTAGCTCACATATCACAATTTAATAAAATAACAAAGAACAAAAATATAAATGGTGATAATAAATTCTAAATAAGTAGCAAAAAGGATGGCAAGAGACAGGTGTCAAATAAGACATAATTATATAAATGTAAATGTTCAAAAATAGAATAATAAGTAAAATAGAAAGATAAGTAATAAAATATAAAATCACAGCTTTATACAAGACGTCATAGGAAGAACAGTGCAACAATGATATGATGACTGACAGGTTATCCATTATGTAAGGGTGAGTTGTTGCACAGTTGTAGGGAGTATTATCTGTTACATAAGGGTGAGTTGTTGTACAGTTGTAGGGAGTATTATTTGTTACATGAGGGTGAGTTGTTGTACAGTTGTAGGGAGTATTATCTGTTACATAAGGGTGAGTTGTTGTACAGTTGTAGGGAGTATTATTTGTTACATGAGGGTGAGTTGTTGTACAGTTGTAGGGAGTATTATCTCTTTTCATAAGGGTGAGTTGTTGTACAGTTGTAGGGAGTATTATCTGTTACATAAGGGTGAGTTGTTGTACAGTTGTAGGGAGTATTATCTGTTACATAAGGGTGAGTTGTTGTACAGTTGTAGGGAGTATTATCTGTTACATAAGGGTGAGTTGTTGTACAGTTGTAGGGAGTATTATCTGTTTCATAAGGGTGAGTTGTTGTACAGTTGTAGGGAGTATTATCTGTTACATAAGGGTGAGTTGTTGTACAGTTGTAGGGAGTATTATCTGTTACATGAGGGTGAGTTGTTGTACAGTTGTAGGGAGTATTATCCCTTTTCATAAGGGTGAGTTGTTGTACAGTTGTAGGGAGTATTATCTGTTACATAAGGGTGAGTTGTTGTACAGTTGTAGGGAGTATTATCCCTTTTCATAAGGGTGAGTTGTTGTACAGTTGTAGGGAGTATTATTTGTTACATGAGGGTGAGTTGTTGTACAGTTGTAGGGAGTATTATCTGTTACATAAGGGTGAGTTGTTGTACAGTTGTAGGGAGTATTATCTGTTACATGAGGGTGAGTTGTTGTACAGTTGTAGGGAGTATTATCCCTTTTCATAAGGGTGAGTTGTTGTACAGTTGTAGGGAGTATTATTTGTTACATGAGGGTGAGTTGTTGTACAGTTGTAGGAGTATTATTTGTTACATGAGGGTGAGTTTGTTGTACAGTTGTAGGGAGTATTATTTGTTACATGAGGGTGAGTTGTTGTACAGTTGTAGGGAGTATTATCTGTTACATAAGGGTGAGTTGTTGTACAGTTGTAGGGAGTATTATCTGTTACATGAGGGTGAGTTGTTGTACAGTTGTAGGGAGTATTATCTTTTACATAAGGGTGAGTTGTTGTACAGTTGTAGGGAGTATTATCTGTTACATGAGGGTGAGTTGTTGTACAGTTGTAGGGAGTATTATCCCTTTTCATAAGGGTGAGTTGTTGTACAGTTGTAGGGAGTATTATTTGTTACATGAGGGTGAGTTGTTGTACAGTTGTAGGGAGTATTATCTGTTACATAAGGGTGAGTTGTTGTACAGTTGTAGGGAGTATTATTTGTTACATGAGGGTGAGTTGTTGTACAGTTGTAGGGAGTATTATTTGTTACATGAGGGTGAGTTGTTGTACAGTTGTAGGGAGTATTATTTGTTACATGAGGGTGAGTTGTTGTACAGTTGTAGGGAGTATTATCTGTTACATAAGGGTGAGTTGTTGTACAGTTGTAGGGAGTATTATTTGTTACATGAGGGTGAGTTGTTGTACAGTTGTAGGGAGTATTATCTGTTACATGAGGGTGAGTTGTTGTACAGTTGTAGGGAGTATTATTTGTTACATGAGGGTGAGTTGTTGTACAGTTGTAGGGAGTATTATCTGTTACATAAGGGTGAGTTGTTGTACAGTTGTAGGGAGTATTATCTGTTACATGAGGGTGAGTTGTTGTACAGTTGTAGGGAGTATTATTTGTTACATGAGGGTGAGTTGTTGTACAGTTGTAGGGAGTATTATTTGTTACATGAGGGTGAGTTGTTGTACAGTTGTAGGGAGTATTATCTGTTACATAAGGGTGAGTTGTTGTACAGTTGTAGGAGTATTATCTGTTACATTGAGTTTTTGTTACATTTGTTACATGAGGGTGAGTTGTTGTACAGTTGTAGGGAGTATTATTTGTTACATGAGGGTGAGTTGTTGTACAGTTGTAGGGAGTATTATCTGTTACATAAGGGTGAGTTGTTGTACAGTTGTAGGAGTATTATTGTTACATGAGGGTGAGTTGTTGTTACAGTTGTAGGAGTATTATCTGTTACATGAGGGTGAGTTGTTGTACAGTTGTAGGGAGTATTATTTGTTACATGAGGGTGAGTATGGTATGAATGTATCCTCTATCTCACGATTTCTCTCACAATTATTTTTTTTTTTTTTTTAAATTATTTATTCAGATACAATGATTCTAGTGAAGGCATATGGAGTTTAAAAATATAGTAGAGCACTTTGCATATTACCACATGGCATCAAAAGTTTTAATAATAATAGTAATAATACATCAGTTTTACATAGAGCTTTTCTGGACACTCAAAGACTCTTTACAGAGTATTATTCAATCACTCCACACTCGGTGATGGTAAGACACTATTGCGTCTATTGCGGCTCCTCCAACCATCGTCATCACTCTCACACACACCACTTTTAGACTCGGCAATGTGGGTGAAGTGCCTTGCCTAAGGACACAACGACTGGTGCCCCACTGTTTTCAGTTTGAGAGAAGAATTTCTAGCCTAAGTGTAAACATGCAGGGTTAGTGTTAAACATGTGTGAATGAAACAAAACACAACTCTATTTATGTTTGTGATGAGGAAACAACATTATAACATAGATCAGAAAGTAGAACAGGGGTCTCCAACCTTTTTTGACCTGTGAGCTACTTTCTGTTAAAAGAAAATGCCAGAGAGCTACTACCCCCCAGACAGGGTATAATTAGAGACCTATAAAAAATAAACAATTTTCCAATTATCAAAGTTACACATCAAAATACAATATGATACAATTACAATGGAAATAGGCATTTAATCAATCAAATTTTTGTTATTCAGCGCAATACATAAACAATTATCCAATTATCAAAGCTAGGCATCAAAATAATACATTTAAATGATACATTCACAATGAAAACAGGCATTTAAGCATTTAATAATCACATTTTTGTTATTAAGCGCAATACATATAATTAAAAATCCCTTGGCAAGCTACTTGGAAGGGGGTGGAAACCTATTGATAATTCCTAAACTACAGATTGGAGACCCCTGAAATAGAATAATATGTGTCTTTTTCTGGTGGAACCTCCATGACTTACTTTTCTCAATGAAGATATTACTGCTTTGCCTGAAATGGCAGAATGTTATTCGACATATTCAATCTGGTGTATTTTATTGTTCAGTACTTAGAAAAAACATTCTTGGTAGTATCACTTGCTCCCTTCACCTACATGCTGCTGTTTTAAGTTTATGTAAGTAAGTGCAGTATCACTAAAACATGAAGGGTGCATCTCTCAACTTCAGCTGTAGATTTTGTGGGAGGGTCTAAGGACTTTCTCTACTTTGTACCCGAGTTGGGACATACCATCATTTGTTACCAGGAGCTAAAAAACAAAACACAGGACTGAAAAACAATGAATTTACTAAAGATGACCAATGAGCTCATTCTTTTTACTGAAATAAACAAACCTGATTGCACTGCTTTATCTTGAGTTTTTCCTTTCAGACACAGGTTAAGAAGTTGTGACCAGACTGCAAATCCTACACAGAGAATTTCAGTTTGTATTAATCAGGCAACAGTTTTATAGAGAAATCCCGCCGTCTTTATGTGTATATGAATAGTTGAACTCTCACTTTGGCCCAGTATCTCCTGTTAGAAACGATTGTGGCTGATCTCATTGATGTGACTCTGAGGCACTGAGGCGGCACCTGCCACTAAGCTGCAGTCACAGACAGTTAACCTCAAAGTCTGGAAGTGTTTGTGGAGCACCCAAGCTTTACAAATTCTCCCACTGTCTCCCTTTGTTAGAGTGAAGCAACATAACAGTCACTGCAAAACCAACCGAGCTCACTCTCTGGCCTGAAGGTAAGCAAACAGAACATTTCAAACATCCATTTTAATGTTTTGTGTAGATGAAACGGTGTCAGTGGCGTCAAATGTAGATTGTATTGGACTCAGAAGCTTATGAGGCTGTAACTGTCAGTGCTATAGTAGTTTTGAACACAGCGGTGGGTAGAATAATAATGATAAAACAAATGTAAAAGGATATGGAATGCAAATACTAATCCAGTCAAATTGCATTAAATCATAGTTTTTGCTTTTTTAATGTTTAGTAGCGAAGAAACTGAGTGACATATATGTTATTTGCCATTTTTTCACTGGTGTAGGTTTGCATTTTTGCCTTCTTATCTATAAAGATGTTACTGCTTTGCCTGTAAAGTTCCACAGTATGGCATTCATCGTTTTTAAATTGCCTCAGTTGTATTATGGATGTTATATCTGCGCAAAAGTACCTTGAAAAACACACACTTTTATTGTGAGTGTGGTTTCCTCTTCTCATCATCAGTTTGACAGGTTTAATGACATATTGTGGAACATTCCCGGCAAAGCAATAATATCTCCCCAGAGACAAAGCAGATGGTGGACCCTCTTTCAGAAAAGCTGCACTCTTTTTAAACAGGTTTTCACTGTACACTGTATTTTAGAGGAGTTTATGGAGTAACATACATGCTAAAGCTGTTAGAAAGTTTTTTTGTTTTTTTTATTTGTCATTACATTCCTGTATATTAAGCAGTCCGAGTTTGTGCACTATTTACTGCCAGCTTGATAAAACTCTACACCAGGTGTCTCCAACCTTCTTCTTTCTTTGAGCTACTTTTTGAAAAATAAAAATGCCAGAGAGCTACTAACTTTAGTGGTCGCCAGAAATGTAGTAAATATAAGAGCCATGGTGCGCCGAAGATGAGGTACATTTAGATTTCTATAAAACATAACCCATTATCCAATTCTCAGAACACAAAATTATACATTTACAAAGGAAATAGGCATTTAATCAAATTTTAGTTATTCAATGCAATATGTATAATCCCAAAATCCCTTGGCATGCTATTTGGAAGGGGGTGGAGAGCTACTGGTTACTCCTGAGACCCCAGCTCTAGACAAATATATTAAAATAAAAGTAAATCAAATATTTATTGGGGTTAATTTAAGTTTTGCTTATATTACTCTATAAACACCATTAACTGTCTGTGCAAAATGAGATATAGTTTATTAGATTATAGACAATGTAATGAGGTATTAGGCAAATTTTAAAAGTAGAAAGAGAGATAGAGAGATGATAAATACATAGTCATACATACATCAGAGCTCCCCACCCTGTAGCTCGGGAGTTACCAGCGGCTCTCCACCCCTTTCCATGTAGCTCACCAAGGGATTTCGGAATTATACTGTACATATTGCATTGAATAACTAAAATTTGATTTATTAAATGCCTATTTTCTTTGTAAATGTATAATTATGATGCCTAATTTTGGGCACTGATAATTGGATAATGGGTTATGTTTTATAGAAATCTAACTGTACCTCATCTTAGGCGCACCGTGCCTCTTATATTTACTAAATTTCTGGCAACTGCTAAAATTAGTAGCTCTCTGGCATTTTCATTTTACAAAAAGTAGCTCACAGGATGAAAACGTTGACCCCTGACATATATACATGCTTACATAGTTACATAGATGCATAGATACGCAGATATTTTATTTGTCACATACAAAGTTAAAAATACAGTACAGTCTAAGTGTCTTGGTCCTCCCTTGGGACCCACCCCCCTTTGTGGTAGATTTTTGCTCTGTTCTGAAACCGCCACGATGCCAAGAGGCAAACTCCAGCTTCACATTATGTCGAATGTTTTTCTTTTGCTGTGATCATAACAGGAAGTCAACATTTTAAAGGTCCTCTTGAAAACAATTGACAGCTGACTGACAAGTGTTGTTTTGTTGCAGGCACCTGGCGTACTATGACTCTGCAACCATTAACTCCAGTCAACTGTGCAGGCTTATTACAACCGGGATGCTCTCTGCTCCAGCTGGATGGAGAAGTGCTTCTGTTTGGCCAAAAAGGCTGGCCCAAACGCTCATGTCCTACGGGAATATTCAGCGTACGGTGTAAAAAAGAACAGATGAAGTTAAGACCAATTGCGTTCTCAAACGATTCTTGCTATCTACCTCCGTTACGCTGCCCAGCTGTCTGCCGCCTTGACCCTTACGACGGTTTACCTGAAAGTTACCTCATCCACGGCGGTCGTACCCCGAACAATGAGATCTCTTCGAGTTTGTACGTGCTGACCATAGATAGTCGTGGGTGCAATCGTAAACTGACGTTGAAATGCAAGGAAAAGGAACTGGTGGGGGAAGTTCCAAGCGCGAGGTACGGACATAGTCTTAATGTAGTTCAAAGTCGGGGAAAAACTGCTTATGTCGTTTTCGGAGGAAGGTCGTATATGTCCGGAGCTGAACGCACCACGGAAAACTGGAACAGCGTTGTCGACTGTCCACCCCAAGTTTTCCTATTTGAGCTGGAATTTGGTTGCGTTACTGCTCACACCGTCCCAGAATTCCACGATGGCCAGTCCTTCCATGTGTCCGTTGCGAGAGAAGACTGCGTTTACTTCATCGGCGGTCACTCCATAACTTCTGATTCGAGACCTGCTAGACTTTTTAAACTGCGTGTCGAGCTCTTGCAAGGAAGTCCGCTGATTACCGGGCAATCATTTGACACGGGAATGTCCATTTCTAGTGCAATCATCACGCGAACAGGCTCAATGCATAAGTACATTATCATCGGCGGGTACAAGTTTGATTCTCAAAAGAGCATGGAATGTACTGAAGTGTGTTTAGATGAGAAAGGAATCCATTTTGAGACTTTAGAAGCACCAAAGTGGACCCCTGATGTTACCCACAGCCGTACTTGGTTCGGTGGTAGCGCTGGGGAGGGTAAAGTTTTACTAGCTGTACCGATCGAAGGAAGAGTTAACCAAAGCGAGTCTCACTGCCTTTATAAAGTTAGTTTCGAATCGCAAGAAGAAGCGGAGGAGGGCGGACAAGACGGGACTCAAGGTTGCAGCCAAGAGTCCACAGATTTCGATGATTCTCCTCCGCTTGAAGATTCCGAGGAGCTTTATTTCGGACGAGAACCGCACGAACTGGAAGACAGCAGCGATGATGACGACGATAAGTACAATGAGGACGACGAAGAGGACGAATCTCAAACAGGATACTGGGTCAAATGCTGTCTGGGTTGTCAGATTGATCTCAACACGTGGGAGCCGTACTACTCCACCGAGCTGCATCGTCCAGCTATGATCTTCTGTTCCAGAGGAGAGGAGGGCCACTGGGTTCACGCTCAGTGTATGGAGCTGTCGGAGAGCTTGCTATTAAAGTTGTCGGAAGGTAGTAAGAAGTATTTTTGCCAGGATCACGGAGGGCTGCCGTACCAGGAAGTGACCCCTCCGCGACCCCAGAACCAGCCGTCCATCAAAAGGACCCCCATGAAAGTGAAGCTGAGGAGAACTCCGCTGACCATAAACATGTCTCCAGCCACAAAGAGCTTCTGCAAAAGACTCTTCCATGATTAATTTGATTTAATTTGAAGTAAAATTTTTAATATCAGAGTGTTTTTATTAATACCACATTTATTACGCATTTGATTGTACATCGATACTTCTACATGTATGTGTATGGTGCAATGTTTATAAGTTACCATGGTGACACAATGAATGAATTAGCAATCACAGCCAAAAAAAGGTTTAAGATTGTCTGAATAAAACATAAAAAGTGGATTTAAACAACATTTTCAAAAGCCTGTGATCAATATGAATATGAATATGGTCCTGTTTTGGTGTTTTTCTTTCAACAAAAAAGATGAGAGTGACAAACTGAAAAGCTGTTGGCTAATGCTTATAAAAAATAATAAATATAAAAAAATAAATAAAATAAAATATGATAAAATATAATAAAATAAATAAATAAATAAATAAATAATAAATATAAATTAAATTAAATTAAATTAAACAAAATTAAACAAAACAACATTTCAGGAGCCTGTGAACAATACCAGTGTTCATGGTCATGTTTTGGTGTTTTACTTTCAACAAAAAAGATGACAAACTGAAAAGTTTTTGACTAATGCTTATAGCTTGTGACTGTAATTTGTGAAATGTTAAGATTGTGACTGTGGTTGAGTTTTACAAATATTAAAAATCAGTAAGTTTTATTGTATATTTTTCACAGTGTGTTTACATATAAATAAAGTTTTCTTGAAGACAGTATTGTGGAGTTTTCATATTTTGGTGCAGGTTTCCAGTAATGCCAATCAAATAAATAAATATGTGTAAAAATAAGCGTTTTACAAAAGAATAAAGCTTTCTTGAAGATAATAACTGCTTTGGATACTGATTTTTGCCATCATACACAGCAAAAACCTCAAAAGTTTAGATGCACATTCTCATTCATAGCTTTTCAGATATTCACAGAAGTTATCAAATATATGATACAAGATGTTTAGAATTATGTAGCAAATGAAAAATAATATAATTCAGCTTTTTTATATGTTTTATATCAAATCCACTTTTTGTTTTGTTGACAGTGCTGCAAAACCTTGACCTTTTGTTTTTGACTTGCCCTGTATGTTGCTGTTACTATTCTTTACACATTTTTATAAAGTTAGAAAGTCTGATCATTTATTCCTTATCTTTTAGTCAAAGATAATAAATACAGACAACATTATCAAAGTGTTTATCCTTTATTTCCTTTATTTGTATTCGATATGATATCACATAAGAACACACACTGCATAATCACATCAGATGAAACACAAATTAAATCAACAGCACTGTTATTTACCGACGAGACATCTCCCGCATCACTTCCACTTTGTCATCTTTAATTCAACAAAAACGCTTTTAATGTAACACGTTTTAGAAATTGCACTTGTACCGTGCGGGGGGAAATAAATGATAGAAAACTGTGAAAAGTCTCGGTCTATCATTGTGAAAATAAAATGTTTTTTCCTCCACAAAACAAAACTGCTATTAAGTGTGATGTGGCAACACAAAATGAAGCAATAGACGATAGAAAGTGAACAAGTGAGTCATCCATCAATATTCAACAGCTAAATACAAAAGTTGCTGCAATACCAAACATGCAGTTATTATGGGGAGGGATTTCACACAAAAAATATACTTCTCTGCTGTCATGTGTGTTAAATTATGACAGTACCATAAAATAAACATTCCATCAAATACTGAATGCAAAATTGCCTGTCACCATTGGAAATAGCGAGGGCAGAAGCAAAGACAATGCAATCAATCAATCAATTCAGTTGAAATCAAGTCTTTGGAGCTTCTGCCCATCCCTTTTCCTGTCAGGCATCCCAAGAAAGAAATCAAACAAGCCAGGTTAGCAGGAGCCATAGTCACTGCGTGCATTTACATGCGCATGAGTATTCCAGTTATGAGTCTTATTCCGGTGATGACAGTCTTTTGAAAATGGCGTTTACACTGAAAAACTCAAATCTAGCCAAGTTAAGATGACTTGAATTAAAGGTCCTATATTACACAACATTGACTAATTGACTCTTGTGAGCTTTAATCCATGTGATAATGTTATCTCATCAAAAACAAACCTGGAGTTGTGTTTAGTTTCATTCACATTTTTGAGTAATCCTGCATTATTAGGGCCTGTTGCGGATAAAAAGGACTAAATATTTTATCGGAAGTGCCTTTCGTTTAGACAAAGTGGGGTGAAACTCAAATTCAAAGAGGCCCAAAATTAAAAACTGGGAGTCATGGGCCAAACTAAATATAGAAATATTTCAACGACTTCTGCAGATTTTCTCTTTTTTCAAGATATGCAATGTTAAACCGTTTCTTAATAAAATAAATGTTTAATAATAGTTTTTCTTAAACACTGAATCCAGAACAAGCAGAATATAATAATAACAAAATTTAGTAACACTTGAGTTTAGGAACCACATATTAATAGCTAACTAAGTGGTAATCAGTTTGCAAATTAGCTCTTACTTAGTTAATATTAATCAAACACTTATGAATGTTTATTAAGATTTCAGTGTATGCACAAAAACATCTACTGTAATCTCCACTACTTTAATGGGAAGAAAATAGTAAATGGGTTAGTATTCGCAAAATACAGCCTTAGTAAAAAATGCATTAAAAGTACTTTGTAAATACTAACAAAGATGTAATTAAGCACTTATTATGCATTTTACTGTTAACTAGCTATTAATATGTGGTCCCTAATCTAAAGTGTTACCCAAAATTTTAAATATTATTTCTATATTTCAGTAGTCCAACATTTAAAAAGCTCTCTTCCGCTTTGTGATGTCTTGTCGTGTAGTTTTCAAGTTAACAGCTACCTCTTATTGGCAATTCCTGGTCTGAAATGATCCAATTATTATTGTAGTGAAGGTGTTTGGAGTTTAAAAACACAGTGGAGCACTTCCTGTATTACCACATGGCATCACAAGGTGGAACAGAGTGTTTTCCGCTTGAGAGAAGAACTAAATATGCAGGGTTTGTGTGTTAAACTTGTGTGAATGAAACAAAACACAACTCCAGGTACGATTGCGATGAGGGGGAAACATTAAAACATAGATCAGACAGTAGCGTTATATGTGCCCTTTAAAAAGTCTTGGTAGTATTTTGTTTGCACGTGCTCACTAAGGCACCAGTGTTGAGAAATCAGGATGCTGCATTTACATGGACATTCACAAAACCTGATCATAGCCCAGAAACTCAAGCGCATAAGCACTGTAGCTATAAACTCACTCACTTTAGTTTATCACATCAACAAAAAGGTCAGTAGATGTATTGTCATTATAGAGAATAGAAATAATCCATCTTCCACAGTGCAGAACCCAAAATGAGATAAAAATTGGTTCAAAGTTACCTAACATCGCCCCTCAGGGATTCTCCGATAAAGCACTAAAGTAATCTTCTTTTGAGGGCACTCCCAAAACAAAGAACATCCAAGTCTCCGTGATTGCATTTCGTCTTGGGCTAAAATGATATATTAATACAGTGGCCGCAAATGTGCTGTGTTAAATGCAATTTCCCCTCTATGACTTACAGCGCTTTCATAAATATCCTCCTCCCATATAAATTCATAAATGTGTCAAATTGTTGCAATACAATAACCCGTGTCATATTTCACCAAAAACTCTTTTCTGCAGCTGAGAGGCGAGGAGGGAAGGATCTGAGCTGCTGAGGTCACATTATCTCAGCGAAGGACTGAGTAAAAGTGATGTATATGAGGTATGGAAATGTGTAGAGTTTATTCAATATCAATTAAGAAACTGTAAAATGCAGAGAGTTCATTTGCAAAAACAGACGAGTGGCCAACTGAAGAAAAAAAAAAAGTAAAAAGTAAGTAAGTAAAAGTAAAAAAGTAAGTAAAAGTTCAATATTTTTGTCTAGCAGTGTTTTCAAAAGTCAATAAAAATATGATTCCATTCCCTTTTGAGAAAATCCTCACACATACTGTTGTTGTTATTAATAATTTGTGTAAAACAAGGGTCTCCAACCTGTAGCTCTGGAACTATCAGTAGCTCTGCACTCCAGTCCAAGTCCAAAAGTTAAACATTGAATAATTAAAATTGGATCAATCACATCTGTTATCATAGTAAATGTCTAATATTGTGCACTAATATATTGATTTATGGTTTATGTTTTATAGTAGGGATGTAACAATAACCAAAATTTTGTATATATCGTATCATCTAAGGTCCCACAATAGTATCGTGGACCATCACAATATATCGAATTACAAGACTCTTAAATGCTTAAATTAATAGTTTTGGTGCAGCAGGTCCTTTGCTCCATTTCAGTGCAGACTACATGAAGAAATAACTTTTATAAGCCCTTTTTAAATCTTAGTGCTTTGGATTAAGTCTTGTCAAAGCATTTTAAGAGGAAAAAGTAACATATTAACAGTTTTGTTTTTGCCTCCACAAAATATCACAATAAATATCGTATCGTGAGATGCATATCGTGAAGATATTGTACCAAGAGATTACATCGTTACATCCCTAGTTTGTAGGCATCGAAATACTCTCCATCTAAAGGTAGTTATATCAGCTCTATTTCATGCAACACATAAAAGAAAAGTGAAAGGTTGGAGACCCCTGATGTAAAAGATAAAATAAAAACTGCATTTTTGTGATTTTTTTTTTTTTTTTAAACACAGATATTTGTTTTTGGAAATGAACTCTTCTAGTAACACTACTTATTTTACAGATAGCTACAATATGCTATAAAAACTTGACCTTCAAATAAAAGAAAAGTACTGTTAGTTTCGATAACAGTAAAAAAAAATGTGTTCACCTTCACATTTATTGATCTTGACATATTTAAATGTTCAAAATAAAGTAACTTTAACTAACTAACAATTAATTAAAAGTCTGTAAAATCCAGAGTCAGCTCTTCATCATCTCTAACCTCTTCTGGGTCAAAAACTGCCTGCAGAGCTTTCGCTGAGTCCTTATGTGCTTCCATGAACTTCTGTAAATACTTGGATGTGTAGAGCCAATGATGCTTCAACACATCCTCTAACTCAAACACTTTGGACTGACGCGCGTTCATTTTCCTAAACCTCCTGAACAGTTTGTTTGCAGACTCATTCCCCTCGCTGGCCCAGGCCCCTATGGACCCATCTCTCTCGATGATCTCCGGGACGTGGGCCAGGGTCTTGTGCAGGTAATTGGTTATTTTGCCGTTGTACCTATATTTGAAGGTGGAGGAGAGGAGGTCGGCGAATCTCTGGGAGTTGAAGCTGTATCGGCACAGCTGGTCGGGGCACTCCTTTGCGGGGCAGGTGGCTCTCCAGACGGGCTTCATCTGGAGATACAGCCTCATGAGCTCCCTCAAGGCCTCCCTCCGCTCCTCTGTGGGCACCAGCTCGCACACCGCCTCCACCGCTTCCTGGGTCATAAGCTTGCGGGCATAGTTCCCATTCATCCTCATTACTGGTTTGAGCCTGAGCTTCTTCCTCAGCTGTTTATCCAGGGCCGTTCTCCAGCTGCGCCGCTCCTCCCTGCTGGGGTTAACCTTCGTGTACACCTCCCCGATCTCATCCTGGAAGATTTTGTAGAACTCCGTTGCGTTTCCGATGTCACAATGCAAAGCGTCGAGAGTCGGTTGGGTCTCCATGAACGGCTTAGCGGAAACTCCTTTGACCCTGTCTCGAAGCTCATCTACAGACTCAGAGTAAGGATTTTTGCGCCACATTTCGTAGCGCTCCAGGTTTTCATCATGGCTCCGTGTGACGGAGTGCAGAACCATGTTGTGAGAAGCTTCAGATCGGGTGGAGTCACAAAGCGTGCAGACGTAAGTAGACCCAGACGCCTCCAGCCCCTCCATCTCTCTGACCATCTTCTCGTCGTAACCGGTCCCTCTGAAGTGAAAGCGGAATGACCGAGCCAGCCCGCCGATGGATAAGATGAGCCTGCTTTCTTTCATGGCGTTGCGTTCAGCCACTATAGGCCCCAAGACCGCCGTGAGAGTCTCGTGGTCAGATTCATCTACAAACATGAGGCAGAGCGGCTTGCAGGAGAGCTCAGAGTTCGGTTTGGGTTCAGTGAAGATGGTCACCTCCCCCCCTTGTCAGCTTTCACCAAAGTCACTGACATAATAGTGAAGGAGAACCGAACTGCTTTCTCCGGAACGGCAGGCCCTCCTCCGTGCTTTTCGCTGACATCGCCCATCCCGTCACACGACTCCTTGATCATAACACTGAAGCCCGAGGTGCACACGCTGTCATCCAGTCCACTGTCTCTCAACCCCTCCATAATGTCCTCCTCGAGATCTTTGAGCGCGGACACCAACGCCACATCATACCGAAAACGCCGTGTGATGGTGTCAGCCGGGGCATCATCCAGAGAAGACATCCACCCGGAGAGACCGTTAATAATCCCGACGTTGCAGCTCGGGGAGACGTTTTTGAGAGCTGGCTGCCACTCAAAGTCGTGGAAGCCGGGCAGGAGCTCTTTCTCTGCCGCTCGGAGGGAGTGCAGGGGCTGGAAGATCTGGCGCCCGCTTGTGGCTTTGACGGTGCGGTACATTTTGTGGTACTGGCTGCAGCTGAGGAAAGTGTTCACGCGGATGGCCAAGCACACGGCGGGATGCAGACTGAAGCCTCGGCCTGTGAAGAAAGAAATGAAAAAGTTAGACATGAATATATTAAAGCTGCACTGTGTAGCTTTTCTGGTGGACGGGTCTGCCAGCTGCTTGTCTCCATGGAGATGATATTGCATTGTCTGGAAAGTGCCAGCATGACATTAAACTTATCTATCTTCCATTTACTAAATAACATGGGTTTTTAATCGACCTAAAACCTGTGAGTGGGCTTGCTTCTCCACAAATCTGACATGTAACTTGTCCCTGTGGCGTCACCTGCTGTCTCCATAGAGATAAATAAGTGTAATGTCATACTGTGTAACATTCCAGGCAACATATCCGCGGAAAGAAGCAGCTGACAGACCCTCCACCGGAAAAGTTATACAGTGCACCTTTAAGAATCTAAATTAAATACCAAAAGAAATCGTTGAAGAGACATTTGGAGAATTATTCAACACACTTGTGCTTTGAAAAAATTCAAGGCATCCTCAATTTCTTTTTTTTAAATCACACATCTGGAGTCATTTACTTTTGAGGAAGAGGAATTTTCAGATTTTTGCCCCCTGGTGTGAATATATTATCGGAATTCTCTGATTACAAAATCCAATATTTCCTAATTTCACAATGTTATAAGGGGATAGGGGGGTGAAACGGTGATGCTGGCAAAAGTGATGTATTGGCTAGAGATGAAAACAGACAGCAGCTGGCTTCTATTCCCCAGAGAGGGCCATGCCGCTGTCTGTGTAATTTGCAGATACAAGCACGGCTGATGTTGTTTTGATTCTAACAGGCCCTTCACTAGAGTTGTTATTGTGCATTAAAGGGAGTGTGAGAAAGGGAGAGTGACAGACAGGCAGCAAGACAGCCACACTGGGTAGAAAGAGGAGGGAGGGAGGAGACGGGAGGCAGAGGGAGGGAGGAGGGGGAAGCCAGTGGCACTTCAAAAGACAAGCATGGACAACAATGAAACTCTTTTCAATCCAAAATCTTAGAAAACTTTCTCATCCCCTTGAAGAACTTTTTCAGCTCTTTGTTATTTATGAGTCAAGCAGATTCCATTTAAAATAACTAGCAAATAATATTCATGTTTTCTTGTGAATGTGTCAGACATCTTGGCAGAGTCATTAAACAAAGGGCTGGTAATATCGCCTTACCTTGCATCAAGGCCTCCAGCTCGTCAGCCTGTCTGTGCTCATTTCCAGAACGCAGAGCCAGCAGGAACAGAGTCAGACACACAGCCTTCACATCTCCTCCTTCCTCTTTCTCCGCGAATGCCTTTACTTGGTTCTTCAGCTCCTTCAGCCGGTGCTTCTGTGCGCGTCGTGTTAGTGATAGCAGGTGTTGACGAGGTCTTCCCCCCTTATTGATTAGCAGGTAGTCCACTTCTGAGAGCTTCTCCTTCTGCTCTCCCAGATCGTGACCCAGACAATGTGTTTTAAATGAGTCCAGCCTCACATGCTCGCTGCAGCCTCGCGGGCACAGCAGAGGAAGAGAATGTAGAGCTGATAAGAAGTAGTTGGCAGGCGGGGAGAGGTCATCTGAGGTACAGGATGAGTTGCAGGCCGGGCAGCGGGATCCCAGCGCGTGAGTGTATTTGGTGATACAGCTGCGACAGAAGAGGTGCCCGCAGGGAGACTGGACCGGGTCAGAGAGCAGGTGGTCACACACAGAGCAGGTGAAAGCAAAAAGGAAGTCGACTGGAAGGCCCCCAGAGACCAGCTGGGCGCTCAGGTGCTCCTTCTGACATTGGGTGATATTCTGCACCCACTGCTCCCTCTGGACACTGGCTTTTTTACAGTCCCGAGGCGCTGAGCTGTGGTTACTTTGGCCAAACGGTTTCAGAAGTCGCCTCTCACCAATTACAATGCTGTCACTGTACTCCCACCTGGTCCGTTTGGGCAAGCTGTGAGCCCGGGGGAGCGCTGTCCTCCTCTTCCTTCCAGTCCGTTGGAACGAAGGCTTCCTAGGGGAACAGAGGCTGCAGTGGGAGGAGTGAGGCTTCCACTCTGGGACTCTGGTCCGGGAAAAGCTGCAAAAACCTCCTCCTCGCATCACTACCATCCAGCAGCGGTGGCAGAAAGACAGAGGATGCACCGATTCAATGTCCTCTGTCACGTCCACTTTAAAGACTTTGTGAATGACCTCTGGCCAGGTGGTGAACCGGCAGCCCATTTTACGGAGCGTAGTTTTGCTCACATTATCCAGATCACCGTGAACATCATGTTCTGGCCCTTTGACTTTCCTCAGACCTGTCCCACAAAGACGACACAGGCATCTACAAAATAAAAAATAAACAAAAAACACTAACGTAAGATTTAATATTACTATCATCCGCCACAATTCCACTTAACGTTTCTTGATTTTGTTAACCACACTTTATCTTTGCAAAATCCAATTTAAAGTCTATTCATAAATGCATTGAAACTTATTGGTATTTTGACAGCAGTTAAAATCTTGAAATTGTTATATTTATGGGAGGAAAATACACTCGAGGCCAATTACCCATTACCCAACTATAACATTACAGCTAATAAGTGTTAATTATGGAAATCACATATTTGACTTGCTAAATTATTGCTCCTCCTTTCCACTTCTCGAATTGACACTGGGGAATGTATTTAATAGACTTTAATACTTATTCCAACAAAACAAATGAATTGCCATGCTTAAAATCTCATTCAGTTTCATTTCATTTGTGTGATTTAAGTCACTTTATAATTGGCACTGTGTAACTGTTTGGTTGGGGGTCGCTCACCTTCTGTTGTTTCTATGGATATGTCATTTCTCTTCTTAAAATTTTTATTCTTTCCAAGCTCCTAAAGATTTCTGACCGTAAAATATTATACACTGGTCGTTTTATTTAGAACATTCAACAATTTACTACCAAGTAATCTACAAAGTTGTTCAAAATGATAGAGAGAACTTATAATTTTAGAAGATATGGAAATTTCAAATTGCCCAATGTTCGAAGTACCCGTATAAGTTTCTGTGTGTCTATATGTGGTGTAAAACTTTGGAACAGCCTGGATACACATCTCAAGCAATGCCAAAATATCCATAAATTCAAGTTGTTATAGAAACATATGGTCTGGTGGAGAGTGGGTCTTAATATTAGAATAATACTGCCTTCTGTAGCGCTAGTTTTACGCTTGAAGTTTCCTTAACATTGCTGGTATGTGCTGTCCGTTACCATTGTTGGTGTCTTTAATTTACCTAAGCATTGTTAGTATCCTTATGTATTATTGCAATACAGTTATGTTACCAAACTATAACAGTGACTTTTTGTCTGCACTTGGAAATAGTTCATATTGCTTAATGTGAAATGTCAGAAAAATGCGAAAGAAAGCTCTTTGTGTTTGATTAGAAGAAGGGGGTGGTATTAAACATGTTTTCTTCTTCCCACTCCTTTTTGAGCCTTTTTTTAAATTATTTTTTGTTGTTGTTATTTCTGCTATGATTTCATTAATGTTATATATTCTATTGTAAAAGAATGTACATTTCTTACTTACCCAAAATAAATACATACATACATTAAAAATGTTCTGGCCTTAAACAGCTTTACTTTACACTTATGAAATTACAGATGGTTTTATTGGTTAAAAATACCAGTACTCCAGTAAAGCCATACTATGAAATTCCACAAAAAGCAATAATATCTCCGTGAAGATAAGCATTTGATGGACCCTCAGTCAGCAAAGTTACACAATGCACCTTTAAATTGTCCCTGATAACAGTGTTTTGCATTGAGCACTATGATTACCTGAGGTGGTCCATGTGGATGTCCATCTCCTGCAGTTTCCGATCCACCCTCTGGCCAGGCCCCTCCACATTCTCCTTACTCTTCCCCCCGAGGCACAGTCTCATAACACTCCCCGGGCTCAAACCATTGTCTAAATTTGGAGTTACACTCAAAGAGCCCCCTGATGCCTCCTCTTTATCAGTCTGCGTCTCCACGGGCAGCGGGGCTTTCTCCATGGACCTCACCCTAAACAGTTTGAGCTTCCACTGAGAATACTTGGACTGGGGATGGGACAGCTCATCCGGCACGGAGGATCTGGGACCACCTGTCTCGTATTCCCAGTCCGCCATCTTGGAGACCGAGTATTTGCTCCTGTAATAGAGAGAAAGAGAAGATTTAAGGCAAAAATAATCTCCGCTCCCTCAAGGCTATTTGAGATTTCAACTCTTTAGTGCGTCCCCTGTGCGTTCTTACAGCTAAGCCCATGATACTGTTTGATTTCCAATGACTTTACACACGCTTCGAGGATGAGAGTGATTCAGGAGGAAAAGAAGCTTTCAGTTGGATGGCTGGTGGTTCGATGCCAGATACAATTAGGGCAGACATGTGTTATTGGGCAAAACAATTCATCCATGTTTATCTATGTGGACTAGAACTAGCAATCAAAGTAATGTGGGGAGTGAACTGAGGTGGATAGTATTTAGTTACAGTTTCTTGAGCAACTTTTTAAATAAATTTGCACTTCTCGTAGTAGTTTCCTATTGTGTTTAAAGTCAAGTAAAAGTTTTGGTTACTCTCCTCTGTGTGCACTGTGTAACTTTTCTGGTAGAGGGTCCACCACCTGCTTAACTTCATGTAGATGTTATTGGTTTTTTCATCAAAGTAAGGCCCGCGGGCTGACTCCGGCCCTCCAAGCCCCTTTGACCGACCCCCCAGCCCCTCTGCCCCCCACCACTGGAACTGGCCCCATGAGGCAATCCTCAAAAGTTGTCATGGCCTACTTTTTTAAGTTAGTTTTTGGCAAATAATAACACGTCTGCATCTTATATTTTGTTGATTTTTTTCAATTAAAAATGATATTTATGTGAAGTATTTATATTTAAATAATTATATGACGCATTTACATTTGCCACCGAATTTTCAGCACCTGACAAGCTCAAGGTCAAACAGTGACAGTCAATGCACGCACAGAGTACTATAGTGCAGTTAAGCACAGCAAAATGGTGAATGTTAAAGTACAAAAAGTTGACAGAGAGTGTAGAGTTTTCAAAGAACAGTGGAAGACCGATTATTTTTTTGTTCAGTTTCAGGACCGTGTCTGATATGTAAAGAAAGTGCGGCGGTTTTCAAAAAATATAATCTGCTTCGTTACAATTCTGTTTTACGGCCGACCTGACCCTGGCCTCCATCATGGTCAGGAGCGATAATGTGGCCACCAGAGAAAAAAGTTTGGTAACCTCTGCTCTACAGTATGGCATTTAGTTTAACTATCTCCATTGAGACAAGCAGACACGTCACCAGGCCAAGTTACAGCTCAGATCTGTGGAGAAGTGTGCATGCTCGTAGTAATATAATGCATGTTTTTCTAGTTGTTTTTTGGAGAAATAAACGCCTCTAATTGAATAAATATAGATATATATTTGTAATGCCATACACCAAAAAAGTTACACAATGCATTATTGAGTACAGTTTTTGGCTCCTCTACCCACACCTGTTAGTGAATGTATATATAGTGATGTAAACCACTTTGAGTATCCTGAAAGGTTTACAAATCTGAATGCATTAGTGTTCTTTTCTCAAAAATCAAACAGGCATTGCACAAAAATCTCCAGTTTTCTCATCACTCAGAGAACCACTGAGACTTTCGTGCTGCTCTGGGTTTGCTAAATAAGACCCCTATCCCTGTAAAGCTGTCAGTCATTTATATTAGTCATTTTCTTGGCGCCGGTGAGAATTGGAGCCCAGAGAATGAAGACATACAAGAATTTCATAATGCCTCTGTATTGACCCAAAGAAAACATCGCAGCGAGTAAGAGTCACTGTGAATTATTTTAAACTCCAACCGATTTTTATTTAGGAGTCATTTTTCAACCAACAAGTACCCTGACGTGGAGGGCTGAGATCAATGATAGCGTCAAGGCAGAACTTTTTCATCTCCTCCATCTAACTTCCATTATCTGCTCAGACAGTAAAGCACGGTACATTATAACAAAGATCGCTGTTATATCTTTTGTCAAGGATTTTTATTGTAAACCAGCAGAGAAAAATGTGAAATCCTACACTGTACATGAAGTCGGTTCAATGAGTACAACAATTAATGGTGTTAAGAAAGCTGCCAAGTTTTTCACAAAGGTACATCACTTAATATTATAGAGGAGAACCACAAATATATTAGTTTAATTCTCATGTCAGTCCTTGAAAATTACTTTAAAGGGTCCATAATAGGCTAAATTTTGATGTTGTAATGTCGTTTCCTCATCACAAACATACCTGGAGTTGTGTTTTGTTTCATCCACATATTTAACACATAAATCCCACATCTTTTTTCGTCTCCGAAACTGAAAACACTTTGTCCCACCTTGTGATGATAATACAGGAAGTGCTCTTTACACCTTCACTAGAATAATTTTGGTACTTTTAGCCCCGGAATTGCCAATTTCTACTTAACAAAAAGTAAAAGGTAGCCATTAACTTGAAACTGCTTCATGACATGACAAGGTGGAGATATAGACAGACTAAAAAATAAAAGATGACTCAAACATGTGTGAATGAAACAAAACACAACTCCAGGTTTGTTTGTGCGAAGGTAACAACATTCTAACATGGCTTCAAGCACACAAGAGTCAATTTTGGATCATATAGGACCTTTTAAGATGCACCGTGTAACTTTTCTCACAGAGAATCGACAACCACGGTTATTTAGTCTACGTTTATATAATAATGGTTTAAAAAGAAGAGGCATAAGTGGCATAGCGTCTTCACTTTTTATTCCACGTTTAGACGAGTGTTTTCAGGAGGAAATCTGCATGCATACGGTGCCGCAAAAGTGTGTGGAATTGCCAGGTTTCTGTGTACTGTATGTATGTGAGGTAAACCTTTACGTGACGTGAGCAGATCTGACCATAGTTTTGCGTCACGGGCAGTATAGACAGAAACACTACGGCGGAGAGTATTCAGCTTTTCCACTCTGGAGGGTGGTTTCAGATTTTTGCGTTTTTAAGCCCCAAAACTCTGTTACCGTCTAAACGAAAGGCACTTCTGATAAAATATTTTGTCATTTTAACTGTACTATCACCATGAAGACAAGCATGTGACACCACCAGCCCAAGTTACAGGTTAGATCTATGGAGAGGCAGGCCCACTCACACTTAAAAAAAAGTCAGTCAATCACATCATAGGTTTCAAGGTATTTTTAGCAACAAATACTGATGATTTAATACTTGAATTTGTTATGTGTGGATAAATGCACATAGACAACCTAGAGGAAGTGTTTTGCCGATGGACACAATGGCAGTATTGCTGATAAGAGTGATGCGACCACCAAAATTTTCATTAGTTAACATCTGTTTCAACCACTGAACCACTCCTGCTTTCTTTGTATGTATTTATCTTTCACTAAATTAGACAACGAAGCACATACATAAATTATAAGTATAATTCTTGTCAAATCTTACCAAGGCACAAACACTCCCACCGAAGCTCCCGTCTCTCCATCTTTCTTACTCTAAAACGTCAAAAATCCGAGTCGTCTACATTTCCTCGCAGCGTCTTTACCCCTGAAGTTCCCTTTAAAACTAACAGCTGAGCCAGAATGCGTGCGTGTCATCTGTTTTTTCTTACCTTGTTTTTGTATCTCAGCTGGCTTCACCTCCCCCGGGGACCTCTCTCTGCATGGGAGCACAAGGGAAGCCCAAGAGCCAGAAAGGGCCCCACATGCACCGGCATAGAAGCTAGACAAACGGGAGCAGGCACAGTTGCGGTGTTGGCTGTGGAGATGTTGATCCATAACTGTAGGATCGTCTGTATTTATACCCTACCGCCAATGGGATCAACAGTCAACCCCAGCCACCTGATGGAGGCAGCTGATTTGCAGGGAAAACAAGGTCAAACCATAACAGTTGTAGACACTTGTGTATGTATCCAAGCCATTACATAGAAAAAAACAAAACAAAACAGTGAACAACAGAACTCCTCAGCTGGAGACTCTTTTATCTCTCCTCTCTCAGATCCATCTGCAGGCCGACCTCATCCAGGTGGCTCACCCGGCTCAAGTGCAGTTAGAAATACTGACGAGACTGCAATACAAACTCTGCTCAAAGTACTGTTTCTAATGCAATGCTGCAAAACTAAACATTCAGGGTAATTTTTTTGAGTATCAGAAGAGGATAATATGAATTACACTTATTTTTTATTATGTTAGTTTGGTCCTCTAATCTTCCTGAACATGTTAGATAGGCCTCTGCTTTGACTCTGTTTAGCTGCATATGACTGAAAGGTTTTTTTATTTTTCATTCTGCACTCTTCTCTCAAATTTAATGTCTCTCTCTCTCTCTTTACTCTCTTTAATTTTATGATGATTATTTATTTTTTATTCATTTTTATTGTGATTTTAATGTTTTTTTTAATTCTGTAAAGCACTTTGAATTACTTTGTACATGAATTATGCTATACAAATAAACTTGCCTTGCCTTTTTTTTTTTTTTTGTTATTTATAGTATTTTTATTTATTTATTTTTAATTTTATTTTTTTATTATTTATGTATTTAATTTATTATTTTATTTTATTAATTTTTTTCACTGGTTTTAGTGTTTTGGGACTGGCAAAATTAAAACTGAGCATTTATACTTTTTCTGTTTTGTTTTGGTTTGTTTATTTGTTTGTTTGTTTTTCAGCACTTTGGCTACTGCCTTGTTCATGAAATGCACTGTATAAATAAAGTGGATTTAGATTTTCTGATGAACTTGCCAGCACTTTGGTCTTTTGTACCTGATGAATATTATTTTGGAGTAACAGTAGTTTTTGAAACACTCTATACCCTTTAGGAGCAACTCATAAAACATTTAAATTAATTAAATTTGTATTTATATTAATACACTATCTGTCTCGTAATTATATTTTTTGTCACTTTGTTATTTTTTTAACTATTGATACTTGGCAGCTGATTTCATAAACATTCTCTGGAGGTGTGACGCTAATTAGAGGCTCTGCTCTGTCTAAGACTTTGATTTGAGCTTTATTTCAGTGCAATCTAACAAGAAAGCACCAATCTGTAGCTGGAAGTACATCAGGTGAGATGATATGTGCTCTTCAAAAAAGTCTCTCATGCATAAAATTACAGTCACAAGCTATTTCAGTTTTTCAGTTGGTCCCTTTCTCCTTTTTATTGAAAATTAAACACCTAAACATGTCCATGAACACTCGTACTGATCACAAGCTCTTAAAACATCTTAAAACATTTTTGACTGTGTTTGCTAATGTATGCATTTTGTCTCTATGGTAACTTCTGAACATCCCACCATAGAGATACACGTACAACACCCCCAGCATGACGTCCACTCCACATGCAGCTATATGGTGCACGCTCCATATGATCCCATGTGTGTCTATTTCTGTGTCAGACAATCAGACAGTTGCTCCATTAATTGTTAGATAATTACACTGGATTTATTTTGAGTCATGCCGTGGCTTTTTCTAGTCTGATATGTGTCATGTGATCAGTGTTAACAGTGACATGTATCCCTCGGTGACATGTTTTACTCATGCACTAAGACTAAGTAAATATTACTGCTAACTAACCAGTCTAAACAACCTGTATCACCAGTTAGTGAGCACAATACACAATATTTATAGGTATTATATGACGCAGAATTGAGCTTTTAGCCACTGTATAATGTTGTTACCTCATCAGAAACAGAGCACTGCGTTTGTCTCTGCATCAACAAAGCTCAAAATGCTCTGTTCCACCTTGTGATGTTATGAAGACATCAAAGACTTCACGTTTACAGCTCCCGTTTACTTTTCGTTCAGTAGAGACTGGCAATTGACTGGACTGAAACTATCCAGCTGATTTTAATGAAGGTGAATGATGTGTAATCTCTCTCTCTTTTTTAATTGTTTTATGATGATTATTTATGTTTTGATTTGTTAGTATTGTGATTTTAATGTATTTATTTTTTCTGCAAAGCACTTTGAATTACTTTGTGTACGAATCGTGCTATACAAATAAACTTTCAAGGGACAGTCCAACATTTTGGACACAGGACCTTATTTCCTAGTGAGCCAGAGTGTTGGAGACGTGTGGAGACACTTTTTAAAATATTCCATCCAGTTCTTGTATTTGCAGAGGTCGCTGGTGCTAAGCTAGTGCATGTCAATGGCCATAGTTAGCCTGCCACTAAAAACAGTCTTACCCACTCCACAAAACACCTGAAGCAAATCTATTATTATGTCAGATTATCGATGTGAATGTCTCTATTGACAGAATAATGTTTGAAATAAAACTGACCTTGCATCGCATGAATCGTCACATGTTGAGGGACTATTTTCTCATATATCAGTCCGCCACTGCCAAGCTTTCTATCAGGAAGTACAACTCGCTGCTGCTCTGACATAAATCTTTCAAATGTAAGGTAGGTTGAACTTCTAAAATTATTCTATCAACACAGACATTCACATCAACAGTTTGGCGTAATAATAGATTTGCTTTGAGTGTTTTGTGGAGTGGGTAAGTCTGTTTTTAGTGGCAGGAAAACTATGGCCATTGACATGCACTAGCCTAGCACCAGCGACCTCTGCAAATACAAGGACTGGATGGAATATTTTAAAAAGTGTCTCCACACGTCTCCAACACTCTCACTAGGAAATGAGGTCCTATGTCCAAAACTCCGAACTGTCCCTTTAAGTTTTAAGCATTAAGCAAGCCTAAATAGATAGATCAGAAAATAGTATAATATGGATCCTTTAGCACTGCTTATTTTCTGTTAAGACCCAAACAAACCTGTAATTAAAATTGTATCTCAAATTATTTACCATCCGTCATGAAGAGAAGTAATGCTTTGTGTCACCATTGTTGACATTTCAGACCTGTTGCACTGGATACAAAGCTACATGTTTCTCTACAGCTTCAGAGCGACTTTTAATTAGACTCTGGTATTTCGCTGTGAATTCTCAGTAGGTATGCCGAATATTTGCCCAAGCGCCTTCTTGTTTGTAATTATCCAAGGGAATAATCTTGTGTATTCACCACAGGAAACTGCGAGCTGTTGTGCTGGATTCGCCACCCAAGTCATTATGCACACAGACAGCAGCACCACACAACAGCAGGGACCTCCCACTCATTTCGATACACACAGAAAGCACAGGAAAAGGTTCAGAAGTTTATATTTGGTTTGTGTTATGTGTTTTTGTGCTGGTAGGTGTGTGGGTGTGAGAACTTACTTTGCAGTTTCAGTCGAGTGCATATTGTTCTCGAGGAAAACAGAATCAGCCATATGTTTTTGTCGTCTTTTAGGATCAGCTGTGAGATTTGGGGCATTGCTTAAAGGAGATACGTATGCGAAATCAACTTAAATGAGCTTTTAATCATGTTCTGACAGTGTTCCTTCATCATTTTATTTTCACTTGTACATAAACATGCCAGTCTTTGCTACTTATGTTGAATTTATTGTTACCGCTTATATCCTTGCTCTTTGTTATTACTGTATTTTTCGGACTATAAGCTGCACCGAATTATAAGGAGCATTAAGCAAATAAAATGGACGACACTTGAGACTGATCCCTTAGCCCAGGCCTCCACGATCCATTGGCAGATCGTGGCGTAATTCACCCGGCGTTGTCTCACTGTCTTTATGAATGTGAACATTGGTGGATAATTTAAGTTTGTGTTTTTATTTTCTACGAGGAGGATTCAAATATACATTGAGTAATAATGTGTTTAATGCAGCTTTATGCACATTTGTTTATGTTTTACAGAAACAAAACTTAAAACCATGTGGCTAATTTGCATAAACTATAAGCGCTGAAAAAACAGCATACTTCTTGTGCGTTGATGCGGTCAGCTTCTGTCGGATTAAAGGACACAGCTCAGTGGAATATGTGTGTGGCAACGGTGGCAGTGTGCGTTGAATCAGTGCAGAACCATACTTCAGCCTTTACTCCACGAGGTTCCTGACTAAAGTAAGCCATAATGCTCCGACAATCATCGCTTACCAAAGTCGTACGAAAACATTTTGACAGATTTTTGAGCGGCGTGTACCACATAAAATCGGTCCGAGGTCACTAAGCACAACCCGAATTAATACATAAGGCGCACTGGATTATAAGGCACACTGTCGCTTTTTGAGAAAATTAAAGGATTTTAAGTGCGCCTTATAGTCCAAAAAATACGGTATATTATATTGTGACGTGTGAGCTACTGTGTCCAAATCTTTCCTCTGTGAAACAATAAAGTTTGCCTATGTATCATTAGTTTTCTCAATGTTGTGTAAAGTTGTGTTTGATGAATGCATGTTTCATGATCATTTCCTGTTGTCACATACCCCCTATCCCGGCCCACAACTGTGTACTTGGTTGTAAAGTATAATTGTGTTATAATGTTAGTTATTGGCATTATTGTGATGGAAAAACTAAACTATGACCACTGAAAGTTGAGAAAAGCACTAATAAACTCAACATTGTGAATAATTAGAATGAGATAAATGTGTCAGGAAAGTGTGAAATAATTTTGGACAGCTGCACTGCAAAAAAATAAATCTAGCCAAGTTAAGTTCACTTGAATTAAGAAAGTTTTATCATGATTTGAGTACATTTCATTTGACAAGTAAAATTATCTGCCAATGGAACAGGACTTTTTGCATTTAAAATATGAAAATACATCTTGCTACACTTAAAATAAGAAATGAAATAGAATGTTGCTTGTTACTTATTCCACAGTTAGAATCTACTCAAATAAAATCAAATGTTCTTAATTTAAGTCATTTT